CACACACACACACACACACACACACACACACACACACACACACACACAGACGCAGCCTCATGTCAGGTGCCTCTGATGTCGCTGCAAGGGCTGTCCCCCCCCCCTTCGTCCAAGCTCCAATCATCATCACCACCACCATCACCACCACGGCAGCGCACCTCCTGCTGTGCTGCGTAGTCGGAGTCCTCAGTGCTGGCGGCGCCGTCTACGAGCTGCTGTGCGCGGCGGCGGTAGAAGTCGAGCTGCTGCTCCAGCATCTCCATGCGGTCAAGCAGCCGGTCGGCGTGCACCGTATCCTGAGAACACACACACACACACACACACACACACACACACACACACAGAGGGAAGTTGTTGGGCGGTGGTGACGGTGGTGCGGCACAGGCAGGGAAAAGGTAGACAGGCAGAGAGACAGATACCTCAGGAGGACAAAGGAACGCATGCATACAGGAATAGGTGCACACACACACACACACCAACCAAACAAATAAACACGCAAACACAGACACAGACACAGACACACACATACAACACACATACACAAACACACACATACACAAAAGCACACGCACAAACAAACGCAACACACACAGGCACCTCTGCGTTTTCGTCGATGAGGGTGGTGAGGTCAACGATGGTGTCTGTGAGCTGCTTGATGCGCTGGCCAAGCTTGTCCTCCGTCTCCTGCGCTTGCAGCAGGCTCTCGTGCAGGTGCATAAAGTCCGTGCACACAGACGTGTACTCCGTGCGCAGGTTGCGAAGCTGCAGACGGTGGCGGGGGGAGGGGGGTGAAGTGTTGGACGAAAGAAGCCATGACAGAGAGAGAGAGAGAGAGAGAGAGAGAGAGAGAGAGAGAGAGAGAGAGAGTGTGTGTGTGTGTGTGTGTGTGTGTGTGTGAGTATGTGAGTGAGTGGGTGAGTAACTAAGAGCATGTGAGTGCATGTGTGCGACTCTAAAGCGGGAACCAACAGGCAAAGGGTAGACGAGCGATCCCCATGAAAGTGCACCAGCAGCAGCGGCTCTCAAGCTCCAGATCCACCACACACGACAGCAACTTCAAACAAACAGCTGCAACGCTGGAGCCACGCCTCAGGCATTAGGTGCCATCGACACACCTCTTCCAGGAGCACGGCGCTGTCTGCATCCTCAAATGCCTCGACTGGCGCAGACAGGATGTCCTCGATGGGCCGCACAAGCGCGGGAAGCACCACACACACGTCCAGCGTCAGGCGCCGGTGCACCGCAGATTTGCTCTCCACAACATCCACACCCAGGCGCACTTGGTCGCCTGCACAGAAAGACGGGGAGGGGGAGGGGGAATGCGAATTGGAGCCGCCAGAGATGAGTGGTTGCAACACGATTGAAGCAACTCAATGTGCAATTCACACACACACACACATGCGGTAACCCCTGTCATACACACACAATTGAACTGCACCAACATACTCACCAGTCTTGAGCTGAACGGGGGCAGACTCTTCGTTGCTCTTGCTCAACCGCTTGGCGTTGACGTATGTGCCATTGCTGCTCTTGGTGTCCTTGATGTAAACCTGCAAGAAGAGATTGAGCATTGACACGATGCCACGCAGCAGCGACAACCCCATCAGCACGGCCGATGCTCGAGGCGCGCACACACACACACACACACACACACACACAAACATACACACAAACACACACAACACAAGCTGCCATCAACTTCCATCCCTCGCGTGTACAACAGCGGTGTCCGAGGTACTCTGATACGCACACACGCACCACATGGCAAAGACACTCCACTTTCCCCTCCCCAGCCCACGCACAAGGTTGTTTTCGAGCCAGATTTCGGCGTGCGATCGGGAGAGGACTTTGTTCTCGAAGATGGCGTTGTCGGGTGCAGGCGCTTGCTTGTTTGGCACTGCGCGCCCAACCTGCACGTCAACGGAGGGGCATCCGCGTCAGTGGTGCATGTGACAACACGAAGACGATGATTGGACAACACAGAGATGATGAGCGGACGGACAACACAGAACCAACAATAAACGACACAAGCAGTGACCCAAAGCATGCACACACAAACACAGACACAAACACAGACACAGACACACACACACACACATACACACACAGACACACAGACAGACACACATGCACATACACACACGCAAACACACACACACGCACATACACTCACATACACACAAGCGCACCAAAATCGTGGAGACAAGCGGGATGGTGCGAACAAAGTTGGACTTGACGTTGCTGGCGGCATCCTCATCATCGATGATGGGTGTCAAGATGATTCTAGGTTGGTCAACCTCGCCTCCCATGGTTGGTTGTCCGCTCTCTGTGCGACGGTATTATGTTCGACGCGAGACCTGTAATGCAACAAACCAGGCACGCGTTCAGAAAGCCCCCCCACAACACACCAACAACACACCACTTCTTCTCTCTCGTCGGTTGTTGGTGGTGCTTCGTGCCCATACGCAAAATTGACTTGCTTGCTTGTTTGCTTCCCCAAAGTCAATCCTGCCTTTGCTTCGTGCCTTCTTGCTTGCTTGCTTGCTTGCTTGCTTTGCCAACAACCAAAACACAGCAACTTGGCGAAGAGCGCGCCACTGCACACACCAGACAAACAGAGTAAACGCAAACACCAAGCAACCCCCCCCCCTGACTCTCTCCCAAAGCACACACACACACACACACACACACACACACACACATACACACACACACACACACATATATATACACACACACACTAGAGGGCATGGCGTCAAGGGTGTACACGCACGAGGACTGGAGGCAAGAGGGCAACCGAACACCGCTGTCGTCAACCGTGCTGGACGATCCGGGCCTGCACAGCGCCAGCGTGTCTCGTTCTACACGCGTGGAACGTCACAGAAGCCACAGCAACAATGGCCACAATCACCACCACGACGTGCCGGTGCAGCACTCGCCTCGCAGCGCATTCACGCCAACACGCACCCCTGTGCGCGTTAACGGCAGCCGGAGCAGTAACCGCAGCCACCACAGCCACCACCGCCACCACCGCCACCACCACCACAACCACCACCACCACTCCCACCATGATGGTGATGCCGATGACTTTCGCCCAAGCAGCGTGCGCCGCGATCCCAGCGGCACCAGCTTTCTGGAGCAGTCGTATCGCAGCCAAGGTGACGTGTCCATGGACGGCTACTACCGCCGCGCTGCGCAGCGTGAGCTCGATGCGTCTGTGCTGCGGGAGCGAGAGGCGCGCGCTCGCGAAACACAGGCCAGGTCAGAGGCCGCGCAGGCACACACCTCGCTGATCGAGAGCCGAGTGGCCGAGGAGCTGTCGCGAGAGAACGCTCGTCAGCTGGCGCGAGAACTTGCTCGAACACGCGACGACCTCAACTCCTCCCGCGTGGAGGAAGAGCGCCTGCGCGACGACATGGACCGCTCGCTGACGTCACTGGAGACGCGCGTGCGGCACTCCGAGGACACGGCACGGCGCATCAGCGAAACAGTCGCCCTCAAGTCCGATGAAATTGAGACCGTGCGTCTGCACCTCAAGCGCGCGCTGCATGACATTCGCACGCGCGACGATGAGCTGCGAAGCAAGGACGACCATATCCGCCGCCTGGAGCACGAGCTGCGACTTCGATCGGATGACATTGCCGACTTGAAGCTCTCCAAGCAGGACCTGCACAACACGGTTGTGGAGCGCGATGAACACATTAGTCAGCTTTCTGCCACGCTGCACGAAACAGAGCAGAGGTGCTTCCAAGTTCCCATGTCACAATGTTGCATCAATGCTGCCATGTGTACTGCCTTGTGCTGAAACGGAGTGGGGGTTGGTGAAGCACAGGAACAGTGGCGTGTGGTGAAGCAGAGGGGAAGTGATGTCTTGATGATGACATGGCTTGTGACTCCTTGGTTGCCAGCACTGTGATGTGTGTGAGAGAGAGAGTGTGTGTGTGTGTGTGTGTTTTTCTTTGTTTTCATTGTCTCTTTCCCCATGTCACCTCAAACATATTCACCTCCACTGCAACGACTGCTTGGTCTCCCTCGTGTCACCGTGCTTCCCCCCAACCCCCCCCCCACCTCCCGCCTCAGGCTGACGGACTGTGCCGATGAGCTTGAATCCACCAAGCTTGCACTGCGCGACGCCAACCGGCGCCTGGAGGAGGTTGAGCGCGACGCAAGCTTCAAGCACCGCCGGCACGAGAACGATGTGCACGCACTGCAGCACGACCTGGAGGCCACGCGCGAAGCTGTGACGGCCCGTGACAAGGAGATTGCGTTTCTTCGCGGGAAGATTGACGATCTGGAGCGCAGCCTGGAGGGCCAGCGCCGCGAAATTCAAATGCGCGACGAGCGGCTGGACAAGCGGCACGCAGAGGTGCAGTCGTGGACGAGCGAGTGTGATCGCCTGCGCCTTCAGCTGGAGCATGCGAGGCAGCGCAACATTGATGCTGCCAACGACCACGAGGGGCGACTCAAGGAGCAGAAGGCGCTGGAACAGGAGCTCTACTCCAAGATCTCAGCCGTTGAAGTGCAGCGGGTGTGTTTACGTGTGTGTGTGTGTTGTCGTGGGTGATGGTGTGTATGTGTGTGTGTGTGTGTTGTCGTGGGTGATGGTGTGTATGTGTGTGTGTGTGTGTGTTGTGTGTGTGACGTCATTGCTTGGGCTGAGCAACGGACTTGCTTTTGCTCACCAGACCATCACACGCGCTGCCACAGGATGTTGCTGTCGCTGCAAAGGAAGATCTCATCTCGCAGACGGCCCGACTCGAGCGCCAGATTGCAGACCTGGAAGGCCAGGTGTGGCGCTGTGCCTTTGCGTACATGTGTGCGTGTGTGCGTGTGTGCGTGTGTGCGTGTGGGTGTGGGTGTGGGTGTGGGTGTGTGCGTACGGCTTTACGTCTGCATGTGCGTATGCGTGTACACATGTGTCTGCCCGTTGCCTGTCGTCTGTCTTTGTTCTTGCCCCCTCTGTTTTGAGATGCTTCGTTCATCACGTTTTCAATACGTTGGCCCACATCGCCTGCCTTGCTTGTACCACCTTCACCTCCTCCTCCACTTCATACCAACAACCCCCCTCCCCCGTGAATGCTGTGCAGATCCGTTCCTTGCGCCGGGCGCTGGAGGAGCGCGACCAAGAGCTTGTTGAAGCAAACATGTCTCTACCAAAGGTGAGCACGGGCAGAGGCAGATGGCACAGCTGCTGCAACGCAGCTGCCCCCTTCTTTTGCTTGTTGTCATGCGTGGACATTGTTGAATCCGCTGTTCCTGTCACATTCATCACACACACACACACACACACGTACATTCACGCACACACACACACACACACACACACACACACACACACACACACACACACACACACACACACGCACGCACGCACACACGCACACACGCACACACACACACACACACACACACACACACACACACACACACACACACACACACACACACACACACACACACACACACACACACACACACACACACAGGAGAGCCGTCGCCGTGTGAACACGACAACAGCTGCAACAAAAACGACGCAGCGGCGTGCAACCGGGCAGCGCAGCAGCCTCAGATCGAAATGGCGATACTGACGTGCGCACCCCATCCACCTCGACCCAATCAAGGATGATCTTGCGGCGCGCATGACACCCTTCTTGCAACCACCGTTTTCAGTTTCGCTTTCCATGCCCCACTTCTGCTCGCTCACTCGCTTGTTTGTTTCATCTCCCATCTGCTCTTTGTTCTTTCTTTCCGTCTTCTTGCTTGTTCATCATTTTGTTCAGTCTCATGCATGCATGCTGTTGTCGTCAAGTTATGTCACATGCAACTGTTTATACAACGCCTGAAACTAAGATGACATAACAGGGAATGATGAAATGACACTTGTGGTGGTGTGGTAAGCACTGGAGAGAACACACACCACGAATGACACATGACTGGTGTGATGATGAATGATGATGACTAAAAAAAACACTGCTCTGAACCCAAACACGTCCATCCCCTCATGTACACAACAGCGCCACCTGCATGCACCGCCCACGCTCACGCAACATCTGCCACACCCAAGCGCAAACAGAACGACAAGAGCGGAGCAACAGTAACAGCCTCGCTCGTGTCTGCTGGGTTCGTATCGTTATCTGCCTAGTTCAATCCAAACATGTGCAAGCAAGATTGAGGGGGGGGGGATAGATGGGGCACCACGCAGCAGTGCCGGCAAGACGATAAGAAGGAGCCGCGCACACAATGGAGGGCGGGCAGATAGAAAGAGGGACGGAGGGGGGGGGGCAGGGGGACACAGGTTTCAAATAAGGAGGGCCATTGACGTCAATAAGAAGAGCGAGTGGTCATCGTCAAAGGCACCAAACAACAAAGCACTCGCAACCACACAGTGGAGGGGGTGCACATAGGCGTGCTCGGGACATCAAGCACGTCCCTAGAACGGTGCTGCTTAGCGCGAAGATATCGAAGAGGAGACGGGGAAATGATGGGATACAAACCATGAGCAGAGGCCAGCGCTGCACGCAGCGTGCGTACTCAACAATGCCCCGAGTGTAGCAGGTGATAGTGAGGGGGACAGAGCAACAAGACAATGCAGGTGGGCACAGACAACCCGCCCATGTGGACAACACACTGACGAGAGAACACAAAAGAAGGTGTCAGCCCACCACAAGGCACCCACAATAATAATCAGTCATCTTCATCATGGTCATGGTCATGGTCAACAAGAAGGGCACCAACTGCGCGCAAAAGCAAAACTGGCGCGGTGGCGGCCATCATCATCATCACCATCATCGTTTCAGAGAGTCGTCGTTGTCTTGGTTACACCAGCGCGTGTCGGTGGGACATGCACGGTCGCGTAAGGGGGGAGGGGGCAGGGAGCTGGTTGCACAGATTGTAGAGTTCGCACGCACGCACGCACGCACGCGTCACGCCTCGCCGAGACGGGCGCGGAAGGCGTGGATCATGCCGTTGAGGATGATGAAGGAGCCGACGACCTGTGCGGTGCGCACGACAAGCCCCTGCGGGAGGACGAGCGACATGACGACGGCACCAGTCTCCCGCGCCCGCCCTTGGCCAAGAAAGTCGAGGCGGCTGTACCACTGGCGGGAGAATTGCTTGAGCAGGGCCATGTACGACTGTTTCGGGTTCATGAGCTTCATGGTGGAGAGGTTGTGGGGCACGTGGGAGAGGTAGCCTGCAATGACGCCCGCGGTCACGCAACCGGCTGCGTTGCGTACGGCCGGGCTGAGGTCGTGCGGCATGCGGTGCTCAAAGTGCTCCGAGAGTTGGTTGAGGCCAATGCCAAAGATGACCTCGCGGCCGCAGCGGGCGTTGAAGCCGCGGCGCCAGCGCTTGTACAGGGGCTCGTTGCTGAGGTTGGCGTTGCACGCCTCCAGGACGCTGCTGATTGGGGTCATGACCACGCCAGGGGTGACGGCGGCGAGCGGGCGCACCACGTGCTCCATGCCCGGGTAGTTTGCCGCGTTGAAGTGGCTGTCGGCCATGATGCGCACAAACTTGAAGCCCGTGATGTAGACGACGCGGGTGGGCAGCTGCACCTGCATGTTGGGGAAGAGCGGGCCGCGCACGCCGGTCAGCACGTGGTTGATCTTGGAGTTGAGCGCCGAGCGGTAGAAGCTCTCAGCGGCGGCTGCCAGCGCAGTGGTCTTCCAGGGCATGGTGAACATCTGGCTTGCGCCGCTGCTGTCCATTGTCGTGGTGGCCGTGGCTGAGGTGCTTGTGGTGGTTGCAGCGGTGGTCGCTGAGAGTGGGACGGGTCCTGTCGCTGTGGCGCCGGCATAGCTGGGCGAGCTCGACGATGCGGTCCCGTGGAGTGCAGAGGCGTCTCCTTCCTCGTGGGCGAATCTTGGGCGAGTGGTGGTGATGACGGTGGTTGCCGGGGTTGGGAACGCGGATGACGAGAGCAAGGACGATGCGTTGACCGGATAGAGGGCGGGTGCTGTTGCCGATGTAGGCAGGCCTTGCTGGCTGTAGAATGAGCGGGCAGCGGTTGCTGCTGTGACTGCTGGCGAGGTGTGTGGCGGCGGAGCGGGTGCCGAGCCTGAGGAAGTTGTGACTGCGCCAAGGCCGGAGCGGGTGCGTGCCAAGCTTGTCGATGTCTTTGAGCCAGCATCCAGACCAGCAGAATCCATGGTGGGCAATGTGTCAACAAAACGATGCATCGTGTTCGCTCGAGAGAGAACCGATGGTGGGCACACAAGTGGAACGGAAGAGGAGGAGAAGACAAGAAAAAAAGGGGGGGGGGGGAAGCAAGCAGATGGATGGATGGATGGGTGGATGGATCACACAAGCGCAAGGGAAGCGGAGAGAGGCGCGTGTGTGCCTTGTTGGTGTTGTGGTCTTGTGTGTGTTGTGTGTTGTACGTTCAAAGAGTTGTCGATGAGTGCTGTTGTTGGTGGGTTGGTTGGTTGGTTGGTTGGTTGTTGGTTGGTTGTGTAAGTTGTTAAGTGCTTGGTGTTGGATGGATGGATGGATGGATGGGCTTGATTCAAATACCGAAGACGGCTTTGAAGCGGGTGCTCTTGGTGAGATCCCGGGGAAGGGGCGCCAAAGTAGTTTCGACGAGAGAGAGAGAGAGGGGGGGGGAGGGAGGGAGTTGGGAGGTTTCCAAGTTGCCGAGAGAGTGTTCAGGACTTAGGTACTCGTTTCTTCGTTCGTTCGTTCGTTCACCGCAGCAAAGGCTCGCGTCAAGTGGACAGCTGTCTTGTGGATTGGAACAAAGTGGAAATGAGGAGAGAAAGGGGCAGGGAGAGGAGAGTGTATATGTGTGGAGATGAGAGGTAGAGATGGGATGTGGAGAGAGGCACAAGAGGGGGAGATGCAATGTGTCAGTTTGTGTCGTATTTTAGATGGCAGCACACAAGGCAAATATGCAGCGTGTATATGTTTGGGGATGTATTGGTGGACGGGTTGGTGGACGTGTGTGAGTGGGTTGGGGCTGACGGTGGGAAGTGGTGAGAGAAAGTTGGAGAAGAGGGAGAAAGGGGAGAAAGCGAGGGGGGGGGGGAGACACGTCAGGACAGTGAGTTTGACACAACACAACACAATCAATACACAGCACAACACACCCACGCGCGCCCACCGCTGGTGCTGGCGTGTGGGCAATCTCGAACGCACGGTGGCGCGGCTGGCTTGCGCGCTTGCTTGCTTACTTCTTGGAGCGTGGTGCGGAACAAGGGATGAATAAGAAATAAAGCGACCGACCCCCAAGAAAGAAAGAAGCACAGACAGGAGAGGAAGCTCAAGAAGGGGCAACCCCGTGTGATGTTGCTGCTGCTGCGGTTTTGTGTGTGTCTGGTTCTTGTGTGTGATTGCTGTAATCCAGCATCAGCTTTTGCCAGACTGCCATGACTTACGAAAGACAGCAAGAAAACCGGTGCTTCGTTTCTTTTCTCGGCTCACCTTTTTTGTTTGCTTGCTTGCTCCGCGATGGCACACACAACAACAACAACCTGGCACGCTCGGCGATCTGACGGGCTGGTGAAAATGATGAACGGTCGAGAAGCTGCCGACAACGTCAACACCCAACAACAGTCCAACACGGCACAACAGAAGAAGCAGAGAAACAGAGAAGGAACGGGAGGGGAAAAGATGGAAACAAATGGAAGGTTGGATATTGGTTGCCTTGCTTTTGCCCTTCTTGCTCTTGTGTGTTGATGATGAAAACCAAAAAAGTCCGGCCTTCTAGAATCCCATTTTGTGTGAATGTGTGCACGAACATTCATTGAAGATATCCAGCTGAATGTTATGCAATGATTAGAATGAATTTTCGAACAAAACTGAATTCAGAGTGTGTTGCCAACGCCACACCCAACGGGGCCTCGAACGCCCCGAAACCTGCATGCAAGAATTTTTTTATTTCCTTCATGACTCACGCTACTGCTTGTCCTGTTGTTGTGTGGCGGGACAACCTCCTCCTCTTCTTCTTCTTCTTCTGCTTTCTGCCCACCCGCAAAAACACACAAGCAAGAAGCAAGCCAAGCACACAGAACTTTCGCTTGCTTGGCTATCTCTCGCATCACACCAACAACCACCAAACAACAAGCAACAAGCAAAGAAGAAAGAAAAGCAAAAACAAGGAAGGAACACCCTCCTGTCTCGCGTGCTTTGCTTGCCTTGGCTCGCTTTGCCAGTTCACCACGACAGACAGACAGGCAGCAGCACACTTGCTCCGTTCTTGGTTGTTTGTTTGTTGTTCGTTTCCCTCGACACAGCAAGGTGGGCTTTGTTTGTGTTTGTGTTTTGTGTCGTGTGATGATGGTGTGTGGGCGTCAGATGATGATGACGTTGACCCTGCTAACGTCGTGTACGTGCTTGCTTGCTTGCTCTGTTCCGTGTGCGTGTGCTTGCTTTGCTTCTTCGTGCATTTGCTTTGTGACACCGGTGCCGCGCTCACAAGACAACACCAACACTTTTGCCTCGTGTGTTTCTGTGCATGTTGTTTTCGTTTTTCTCCTCCCTTGATCGCCACCAACCAACGACCACCAGCCAACCAAGCCCTTTGCGTGAGTGAATCATGTGTTCGTGCACACACACAACAAGCACACACACACACACGCACACACACACACACAACAAGCACATTGCACGTTGCACCAGTGGGCAGTGGGGGATCCCCACGTGCACCTGGCGCGTTGATTGCCCCGTTCCTCTTCCATTGTTGCATCGCCTCATTGCTTCATCAACAGCAGTGCAGCAGACAGCAACCACCTTCTTGCCCTTCTTGTGATCGCATGCCCTCTTCTTCTTCTATTTGTGTCACCTGATCAGCAAGCACTCACCCACTCACACACGCACTCGCACCCACACCCACACACACACGCGCGCGCCGTTGCTTGCCTCATACCTCGCAGCTGACTTCCTTCGGTCAGCTTGGTTCACACCCCAAAAAAAGAAGCAAGACGCAGAGAGGCAAGAAAGAAGAGCCACCTCGGCCGCTGCACATCTTCATCATCATCTTCTGCTCCTTCTTCTTCTTCTTCTTCTTCTTCCACCTTTCTGCCTTTGCTCGATCGACCTTGTGCGCTGGCATTGCACGAGTGATCAGCAGTTATTAATTGCTCCGCAGCAGTTGCAAGCAAGTTGTCGCCAATCCATCCGCACACCACCCCCAAGCAAGCCACCGACACCTCCCACCAACCAAGCCAAGCCAACCCTCTGGCCGCGGTTGCTCGATGGCTGACTTTCTGCGACGAACCGGTTCGTTTGTAAAGCGGCACACGCTGGGCAGGTACGATCAAGCAGCAGAGGAACCCCAGCGCAAGAAGGGCGACCGAAAGGACAAGGCAGCACCGCCGCTGCCAGAGGCGCCAGAGACAGAGGCCGAGGAAACCCACCAACACGAGCAGCAGCAGTACCAGCGAAGAATAGAGGAGGAGGAACAACAGCAGCAACAGCAGCAAGAAGAAGAAGAACAAGAGGAAGAAGCCGCCGTTGACCAGGACGGAGACGACACGGAGGTCGAAGAGGACCTGCACCACCAACGCACGCCTCCGCTTCACGAAGGAGCCCACTCCACAGCAGAGGCAGCCCACACTACCAACACCACCGTAAACAGCAGCATGCGGCCAGCCCACGCCTCCGACCTGACTGCCGCCCATCCCGACAGTGACGAGCAGTGCGGTGCCAGCCGCGCCTCCGTCCAAGACAGCGCCATTGACGCCATTGACGCTGATGTTGCCCCCAACAACCCTGCCACCGCTACCACCGACCCAGACACCACCATCATGCCGGGTGCCGCCGACGGGCACGCGCCACCACCCGTGCCCTCTGACGCAGACCGCACACCGTCCCCGCACACGTGTGCGGGCGGCCGTGGGAGCAGCCGTCGCCGTGTGCGCGCAGCATCGGCGCTGTCTGAGCGCACGGGAACGGTCGTGCACCTTCCCGCCGCAACCACCCGCGCTACATTCATGAAGCACAAGCGCAGCATATCCGACGTTGTGTCTGGGTCGTTTATGACGGACCGGCACTCGCCGGACGCGCTGTCAGATGGAACCGCCTCTGACAGCGGCGACGAAGACGTGATGCCGTGCAGGGAGGGCGTGATGGCCAAGTGGACAAACTACATCCACGGCTGGCAAGACCGCTACGTCGTCCTGCAGAAGGGCATTCTCTCCTACTTCAAATCCGCTGACGACAAGCAGAAGTTTTGCAGAGGTGCGTTGTTGCTGTACCGTGTGGAGCATCGTTTGAGCGTGAGCCTGCTGAATGCGAACACATGAACAGCTGGCAACGTCGATGTCTTGTGATCCAGAGCACAACAATTGTGTGTGTGTGTGAAGCGCATGTTCTTTCACACACACACACTCTCTCTCTCTCACACACACTCACTCACTCACTTACACACTCACTCACTCACTCTTTCACTCACTCACTCACTCACGTATGTAAATCTGTGTTTGGCCATGTGCAGGCACTGTGGACGTGGTACAAGCGCGCGTGAAGCCGCACCCGTACGACCAGCTGCGGTTTGATGTCATCTTGAAGGACCACGCCTACTACCTCCGCGCTTCCTCCACAGAGGAGCGTGGCGAGTGGGTCAAGTCTCTCCAGGAGACCCAGGTGCGTGCGTGTGTGCGTGCGTGCGTGTATGTGCGCGCGAAGGGGATGCGAGAGAGAAAGAGCATGTGCATGCATATGTGTGCGTGTGTGCGTGTGTGTGCGTGTGCGAATTCAACTTTGAACGTTTGTGTATGGCTGTACATGCCAGCTCAACGTCCAATCAGCTCTTTCCATGTATCTCCCTCGCTGATCCTCCTCAAACTCTTATGCACGCCCATCATCCGCGCCTGCTGCCATCTCCCACTGCAGCGGATGCGCGCGAAAGGCCTGACGCGGCGGCCGTCGTCCATGTCGCTCACCTCCATCTCCTCCGGAACTTCGGGCCACTCCTACACTCGCTCCGTCACAGACAAGTACATGGAGTCAAAGGCCCTCCACGACGCATTTGTCGGCCAGGTGTGTTTGTTTGTTTGTTTGTTTGTTGTTTGTGTGTGTGTCTGTGTTGTCTGCTTGTTTTGTAGGCTCAATACAAGTCGTGATGACGTCATTGACCACCCGAATTGCGCCGTGTCTCCGCACCACTCTTTCTCTCACACACTCCCTCCATTATCGCCACCACCACGGCACCCCGGCACGCCACCAGATTGACCAGCTGCAGCGGGCGCTCGCGTCGCTGGAGACGGCGGACGTTGGCGATCTGCAGCGCGACGCCGCGCTCGTCAAGTCCACGTCGTCCGGTCTCCTCCGCGCAATGACCGAGTGGATGGACGTCATGTCCAGGCGTGAAGAGGTGCGCTGTGAACCACCACCAAGGCAGATGCGCCCGGGGGAGGGGGCGTGGGTGTTTTGGGGAGTTGTTGAGCCATGCGTGTTTATTGGAGTGGAATGCGTGCCTTCGCGTGCATGTATGTGTGTGTGTGTGTTGCCATACGTGGCTTATTCGTGCCTGGGAATGCGCCCCGGAATACCACTCGCACCGTGTACCCCTCACGTCCCGTGTTTGCCGTGCTTGCCAGGAGTGGCAGCGCAAGTACGAGCGCCTGAGCGAGAAGAAGCGGAAGCTTGAGCTTGAGGTCCGCAGCTCGCGCGACATGGCCCCGCAGCCCTTTCCAAACAACCCAGACCTCGAGGAGGGCCCCCACAGCAGTCAGTACTTGCCCCCTCGCTATGTTTTGCTTTGTTTTGTTTGCTTGTCTGTTTTGTTTTGTTTGTTTGTTTGCTTGTCTGTTTTGTTTTGCTTTGTTTGTTTGTTTGTTTGTTTGTGTGTGTGTGTCTGTGTGTGTCTGCCTGTCTGCCTACCTGTCTGTCTGTCTGTCTGTCTGTCTGTCTGTGTTCGCGTGAGCGAAGGTGTGTTGAGTTACTTTGTCGTGCGAATACACAAGCCACCTCACCCTGTCATCCCCCGACCACCTTTCCGTCTGTCCTTTGCTCACACACCCCTTTGGGCCATCAGTGCTGAACGACGAGGAGTTTTTCGATGCGCTCGAGATTGGGCTGGACCAGCTGGAGGCCGAAGAGGAGGAGGAGCGCAGAGAGCGCGAACTTGAGGCCCAACGCGTGGTCCGTACACTCTCTGCTCCTGTGCATTCTGCACCTGTTCGCTCGACGGCTGCCCACTATGCTCTGTGTACTGCTTGTGTTGCCAAACATCTTGTTGTTGGACGTGTTCTGTTATCCCTGCGCTGATTGTGGTGTGTTCTCGCGTGTTGTGTGTACATGTGTTTGTGTGCGTGTGAGATCTGCATCACACGCTCACCGTCACCTCCCCGCGTGCACAGGCGAACAAGCCAGCGCCCGGCTCTGTCATGTCGCACCAGTTTTCGTCGCTGCTCGAGGGAAAGCTGAAGGAAAATTTGAAATTGGCAGACGAGCCTGTCGAGGAGATGTGGCTGCTCACCCACGAGGTATGTGCTAATGTCTGAGACGCGTGTACCACTTGCACTGCCGATGCCCGCGACTCTGTTGGCTGCTGGGTTGGCTGCATGAAACCCAGTGCCCTGGCGCTCTTTTTTGAACTCGCTCACTCGCACACCCTGTCTCCTCCCCCCCCCCAAACGAACGCGTCTGTACTGCACGCGAACAGGAGGGCCAGATGACGGTGTACACGCGCAACGAAGAGGCCGCTGGGGAGACGACGGACCAGCTCAAGGCATTCCACTTCATCCCGGGCCTCACTGGCCGCGAAGTCTGCTCCTACTTCTTCGACACAGACCTCAGGCTTGAGTGGGAACGTGAGTCTTTTTCCATCTTGTGTGTGTGTGTGTGTGTCAGATGTCGTGTATCGTGTGTTGTGTGTCGTATGTTTGTATGTGTACGTGCGCATCTTTGTGCCTGTGTATGTGTCGTATGTTTGTATGTGTACGTGTGTATCTTTGTGTCTGTATGTGTATGTGAGCTCTTCCTTTGCAACCCTGCGGGTATCCTTGTGCGTGTGCGCGTTTGCAGCCGCACTGTTGGCATTCCAGTGCTGTGGTTTCCTGCCTTGCGCCTCATCTCCCCCCCCCACCACACACACCACAACACACCCTGTGCACTGATCCACTGCTTGCAGACACGGTTGAGAAGTTCTTTGTGCTGGAGTGGCTGGACAACAACACGAACGTGTGCCACAACATCCACAAGCGTGTCTGGCCCACGGCGCAGCGCGATTCATGCATCCTCTCTCACATGCGCCAACTCAACACCAAGTGCGTATCTATGGGCTTGCACGAGCAAGCGCCACTGCCTGAGGCTGCTTAAGACTTGCCCCTGCTTTGCACATGCTGCCTGCCTGCTGCTTTTGCGCCCCGTACCTCTGTTCCCAACCTTCCCTCAGCTGCCCAGCTGCCCACTCATCCATCCATCCGTGTGCTTTCCCACAAACACGCATGCCCTTGCTCACGTGACGTGTTTCTTCGCGACCGCTCAATCACACACCACCCACACGCATTGCCGCTGCAGCCGGTGGATGGTGCAGAACACGTCTGTGGACCACGACGACGCCCCCGCCAACAAGTATGTCCGCCTCACAGCCAACGTGCTGCTCATGGCAGAGACGCAGGTACCCGCCAGCGCCGACAAGAGCAAGCTGACGCGCGCAGACATTGGCGCGAAGCTGACGTACCTGGCCTATGTCCACCCGGGCGGCTGGGCCCCGGCCTCTGTCGTCAAGTGAGTCACAGTGCCACGGGTTGCAGTCAAAGAGTTGTTGAGGGAATGTGCTCCAGCGTGTTCTCCGTTGTGATGGCTGTTACATACTTTCTGCCCCGTTGCCTGCGCGCACTGTGTGTGTGTGTGTGTGTGTGTGCGGGTGCGGGTGTGTATGTGTGTGTGTGCGTGTGTGTGTGTGTGTGTGTGTGCGTGTTTGTGTGTGTGTGTGCGTGTTTGTGTGCGTGTGTATGTGTGTATGTGTGCGTGTGTGCGTGTGCGTGTGTGCACGTTCCAAACACATACTGTGCTCACCCCACCCCTTTCTTCCTTCTGCTGCCAGGGCGGTGTCGAAGCGGGAGTATCCAAAGTTCCTGAGCAATTTGGAGACGCACAGCCTCAAGCATTTCTCATCACAGCCCATCTTGTGGTGAAGCATGCTGCCTCGCGCCTAACAGCCCACATTGCGCACGGCGCTGCGTTGCTTACTTCTCTTCGTCTGTTGTTGTTTCTGTAGCTCTTATGTTTGTGCTGTTCCTGCTGCCATCTCTTCTTACCGTGTGAATCCTTGCCCTTGGTCTGCACTGCGAGGTCAGATGTTACTCTTCCGCCAACTTGCTTCCCCCTTTCATCCACACCAAACGCCCAACACACAACACCACTCGCAACACAACTTTCATCACCCACAACACGCATCCACACACGCATGCGCGCCACCCTCCTCTGTTGCTTTTGTTATCCTCAATTGTGTATCCATTATTCCCCGTCCGTCTTGGGCGCTGGTGCTTCTCCCTTCAGCTGTGGTTGCATCTGTTTATTTCTGATGATGTTTTTTGATTGTCACGAAAACGGAACGAGGGCGGCCGGTTGTTCCGTCTCCCTCTGTGTTGTTCCTTCTCTGCTGTCCACACTGCACCTCTCCTGACTCCTCCAAAACACACATACGCACACCCGCACAAACACACCGTACCGTTGCTGTGTCATCAGCAAGTCCTTTCGTTGCCTTCCACTGATGTTAACGTGTTTGGTGTGTCCCAATTCGTTCTCCCTCCCATTGCCGCCGCGGTTGCCAGTGCGTCCGCTCATACCCAGGGGCATTCGTAGATGATGATGGCTTGGTCGTCGGAGCCAGACGCAATGCACTTGCCCGTGTGGTCAAACGACACTGCCCACACCTGTAGAAGCCACCGCCCGCGGTGCTGGCATGTGAGCTTGTGCATGCAAAGGATGTGCTTGTCTATCATTATCCTTCGTGTTGCTGTTGTTGCTTCCACTCTTCAGTTGATTGTAGGTCCCTGTTCTCCTCCTCCTCCTCCTCCTCCTCCTTCATGTAAATATCCCCAATAAATCACCACCCCCAAATCACATTTCGTGCTGCGCTCCACCACCTCTGGCAGCCATTGACAAACACTGCCAGCCACAGCCACAACCACAACCAAGCAACAGCCATCCACCTGTAACGCCCTGTCCCTGCGTAAACAAACTGACCTGATCGGTGTGGTCGTCGAACGTGTGCTCGCACTGCCGCTCCTTGATGTTCCACACCTTCACCGTCTTGTCGCTCGAGCTGCCACAAAACAAAACAAAACAAAAAAAATACATGCATGTGTGATGGGGGGGGGGGCGAGCAGAAGACACGCACGCGGTGGGATGAGGATGATGGATGGAGTGGACACGTGCATCAGGTGAAGTGGTCACAGTGCATCAGAAAACAATTGTGTGAGCGCGCGAGCCATCGTGGCATCGTCATCAACACATGTCGGCCATGATCATCATCATCATCATCAGCAGCAGCAGCAGCAACGCACCCCGTGACAATGTGCTCGCCGTCAATGGATGCGTCGACACAGAGCACCCATGAGCTGTGTCCGCTGAGTGAGCCGGCAATCTTGCCCGAGCGCACGTCAAACATCTTGATGTAGCCGTCATCGCACGCCGTGTACAGCAGCGATCCATCGGGCGAGAACGACAGCCCGCGCACGGGCTTGCTGTGGTCTGTACAGTCGCGCATGAAGCAGTGACAAGGGCGGGGAAGGGATGGGGAACGACGTTGTGTTGAGGTGACAGGAGATTGACGTAGGGTGATGAACAAGAAACATCAGTCACGAGGAAGGGGGTGAAAGCAAGACTTGCGCAGCCTGCTCTGAGAATGAAACAAGCAGCAGCAGCACAACAGGAGCAACAGCAACAACAGGAGCAGGCAGCTGACCGTGGAGGCGGCTCTTGTCGTCGCTACCGAATTTGTACTGCAGTTTTCCCTCTGTGTTGAAGAGGCTGACGGTGCCATCCATGCCCGCGCACGCCAAGTGCTGATTGTCGGGGCTCTGGCAGCCATACACGTGCGTGCGTGTGTGTGTGTGCGTGTGTGTGTGTGTGTGTGTGTGTGTGTGTGTGTGTGTGTGTGTGTGTGTGTGTGTGTGTGTGTGTGCGTGCGTAATGGTGTTGATGTCAAAGGGAGAGGTGTGAGGGCGGCATAGAATGGTAAAAAAAAAAAACTTGCACCAAGGTACAAGCACGTGTAATGTTGTTGCCACAAAGGCCAGCGTTGCTGTCGCAAGGGCTACTACAAAGTTGAGTGGCACTGTGTCTGACCCATTTGACGGCGGATGTAAACTTGCCGCCCGTGTCCACCGTGCCTTCGCTCTTCCCAGACTCAACCGAGAACAGGTGCACCTGACGTGCACGTGTGTGTGTGTGTGTGTGTGTGTGTGTGTGTGTGTGTGTGTGTGTGTGTGTGTGTGTGTGTGTGTGTGTGTGTGTGTGTGTGT